AGGTTTCCGACTTTTTTGCCTCGTGGTTCTTAAAAAGATTTGTAATGAGTCCCCATCCAATTTTTGTCATTTGAATTTTTTTCTTTTTTCCCCTCATAATGGGACTTGGCTCTTTATTTTAACAATTTAAACTCCATTTTACCCAGAGATACTTTGCACCATGTTTGGTTAAAATTGGCCCATAATGGTTCCAGAGAAGAAGTTGAAAATGTGAAAAAGTTTACAGTCGGACAACAGGTGATCTTTGCAACTGATGAGATACTAGTAAATGCAGTTGTCAGTCTGACAGGACAAATTCCCTAGTATTTTGTAGCTGCGGCCTGTAACAGACGCCCAAGGAACCTTAAGGACATGGTAGTAGGAACCAGACTGGACAACCCATTACCTAACGGGGTCTTTAAAACTTGCTCTGACAGAAGATGTCTTCTTTGTAAGCACAGCACTGACACAGACAGTTTTAGCAGCCCTGTTACAGGCCGCAGCTACAAAATACTAGGGAATTTGTCCTGTCAGACTGACAACTGCATTTATCTCATCAGTTGCAAAGTTTGCTCCAAACAGTATATTGGTGAAACAGGAGAGTTAATAACCACCGCTCGACCATTAAGACCAAAAAACTCAATGAACCCGTTGGGGAACATTTCAACCTTGAGGGTCACAAATGGGAGGACATGACAGTAGTGGTGATTGACCATAACCCAAGATGGACAGATGCTGAGAGAAAAAGCAAAGAGAAGTTCTGGATGCACAGATTGAAGTCATTCCGCCCTAATGGCATTAACAAACTGAATGACTTCACCAGAATGAACGTAAACTAGACCCAATTCCGGATGATACCAAACAAGGTTATTCTCTCAATTTAGTGTTAACTCTACTGTTAATTTGCTTCACCAACTCTCGGACAACCTACAAAACTATTTATTGTTTACGCTTTTGTTAAAAAAAATTTTTCCCGGTAATAAATCCTTAAATTTATAATGGATCATAATTCATATGTTTAAATATCCCTGCTATGTTATTTTTCTTTGATTATTCTTTATTAAGTAAAGTTATGCCATTTTGAGAGAATGAAACACTGTACGATTTACTGATTATCGTAATTAATTAGCATAATTAATTCGTTCAATTATCACAAAACTATTTATTGTTTACGCTTTTGTTAAAAATTTTTCCCGGTAATAAATCCTTAAATATTTCAAAATTTATAATGGATCATAATTCATATGTTTAAATATCTCTGCTATATTATTAAGGTCTTCCGTTTCCAACGGAAGACCTTCTACTGATTCTGTTGGTCAAGATTCTTATTCTTTTTTTTTTCTTCAGCTTCCTAGACCGCAACTTTGAGGCCTCATATCTCACTCATTTCTCAACAGATTTCGCTCAAATTTTCAGAGGTTATAGACGTTTATGAACTCTACCAGAATGTTGACTAAAATTGCAAAAAGTCACTTCCGGTTTTGAGTTATTTCCCTTTAAACGAAAATTTATAGGCATTCGTTTCCGGGTAGAGGCTCAGAGACCACAAAAGCTGAAGCAGAATTTTTACTGATTTTATGTAACAGAAGGATTGAAGTTGTGCACATCGGTTTTTGTTTTTCGATTTCTGTATTAAAAATGGCACTATATAGGGGTCAAAAATTAGAATGCCTAAAAGAACGAAAATTTACACATATTTCCCTTTTTATCTTGAAAACTAAAAATATTTTGTAAAGACATAATGAACAAAAGTTGTGCTCAATTGCAAGGGCTTTCATATAATGATATTCAAAAGGGGCTGGCCCCTATAATTAGGGCTCTATGGAACTTGAAAGTTTTTGCTTAATAACTCAAAAACGGTAAATATTTCGATCTAGATCTTACGAACAAAATTGTTCTTTTACACCTTTTTGATCTGATGAAGATGCTGTTTTGTTCGATTATGCCGGGAATATTACGTAAGGAGGAAAGGTAAACAAGTAGTGTTTTTCCGATTACATTCTCCTTGTTTATATAACACGCTTCCCTCGATAGCGCGGGGCAAAGTCGGTCACCGGGAATCAATATGCAGGTAATCCAGCGACCCACAGTTATACACAAATAAAAATGAATGATTAAATTCATTCTTTAATATATAAATTTGTATCTTAATACTATCTCTGTCCTTTGAAAATATTATTTTGTTTGAGTCTAACGTATTATAGGAAAGAAAGCTCGACAGTTCTCATCTTGCTATTGAAGGAAAACTCTGTAGTCTTTATGCGCAGAATTGAAGTAAACTTGCCGTAAGTAATAAATATTTTACAATGCCGTATCGTATCTGTTTTATTTAATTAGGTTCTAAACGTGTTCTTTGGTTCCCGTTCAGAGTATTCAATGGCATTATTTTCCTTTTATTAATCAAGATCTTTCCAAGAGAAAGAGTTTTAGAAAAAAGCACGAGTATCTTTTCTTCGTTGAAATATGAACACAAACAATATGAACGAAAACCATACACGTCCGATCTCATAAAAAGAACTTTCAAAGAGTCCAATAATACAAAAATTATTTACCAGGCGATTCTCACATTTACCTGGAACCCAGATTTTTAACGTGTGTACCATTGCGTAATCTTACGATTACACGTGTCCAAGAAAATCTAAAGCGACACACCGCGGCGAACCATTGACCCCGTAGTCATAGACAAAATAATTGGTGTATTAAAACTATTTTACAATTAATGGAAAATTATTATTGTCGGATATTTGAGATTAATATGTTGGCTTATCTTTGTTTTCAATTTAATTGCGATACATGTTTATCTAAAACAGCTATCTAAGCTTTGTGTGTGTTTACAATTACGCGACCAATCATTCCTTCCATCGCTTGTTGACATTTATTTGCACAGCGTGGTCGAATGTTAAATCTAATTTCATAAACTTATGGAAAACATTATTTTCTGTAAGTAAATCGAATCTTTCAAGAATATTTTAAAATATCTTAGGTTAGACTTTAGAACAAAACGCTGGGGTATTTATTTTATATGTACATTAATCAATCTTCCAATTTTTATAGTTCGTTAGTTCAATGTGTAATTTTACTTTTCAATATCTAATTTAATTTTCAATATCTAATCTAATTTCGTAAACTTACGGAAAACATTATTTTCTGTAAGTAAATCGAATCTTTCAAGAATATTTTAAAATATCTTAGGTTAGACTTTAGAACAAAACGCTGGGGTATTTATTTTATATGTACATTATTCAATCTTCCAATTTTTATAGTTCGTTAGTTCAATGTGTAATTTTACTTTTCATTTTGACGATTCATAGCGTAAGGACTGGTGATCTGCTGTTACTTAACTTCAACCAATATTTATTTAAATGCACAAGCTTAATTTGTGCTTTTAACACACAAATAAATCTGTTTTCAACACAAATTTTCCCAAACACATTTTATTTTATTGGCTATTTCAGTTTTAAACTTTTAGAGAAAATCTTCCGAATCATAAGGATCTAATTAGAATTATGCTCAATGAAATGGACTAAACATCGATAAGTATCTCCACCTCATAAGTGATTTCTGTGCTTGCACAATGATGCAAGATTTTAAAGCTATGAATTTAATTTGTGAAATAATTTATTCAAAACCTGTAAATGATTAGTAAAGTGTGCTTACCTTTTAATTTTGTTCCGTGATTTTAAAAACATCAGTAGCAGGTTATACAATGAACATGTAAGTAGTAATAAACCCGCATCATATGTACGGAATCGAAAATTTAAGAACTTTTATAACAATCCGCAGCTACATGTACTGAATATCAGAAGTTTATCATGTAATTGTTTTATACGGTCTCATCGGAAGAACAGGTTCCCATGTCCCACAGTGGGATTCGAAACCACGACGTAAGGAGCTGATCCTTACGTCGCGAGTGTAGAGCAGTGTCTCTAATCACTGCGCTATGCGGGCAACCTTGGGGGATATAAAATGAAAACAATGAAGAAAACGGTCAATTTAAAAAAAGGATGGGTCGTTTTGAAATATTATTCTTACGAACTTCAGGGCAAGTATGAGAAACCATACTTATGAAAGCTTCCTGATATAAAAAAAAAATTACTTATTTTCAAATTATGACTAGAGTTTTCCCTTGCAAAGTGATTGTGTATTTTGGGGGATAGTGTGGATGGGACGGGGATGAAACGGTCTGTTTAACTGTCCATATATCTGTCTGTCCCTGAAAGGTTTTCCCAGAAGGCCAGGCTATAACATAAAGAAAGCATAAGCTTGTACCCGATACAAAGATGTGTCATTGTATTTATTCAAGGCAGTATTACGGGAAATTCAAGATCACTGGAGAAAGAATAAATGTTTTGTTATATTCATTTAGATGTAATCGAGAATATCTTGATACAGAGATTGCTTGTGATAAAAAGTTTTTTTTACGATTTTGACTCAGAAAATATTTTTTTTTCTTTCTGACTATATTTGTTTAAGTTCATACTTGATACAAATTGACTATAGTCCGCCGATTTTCAAATGACTTAAAATAAGGTCATTTTAACAAATTCAGGGCCAATGACAGAAAAGTTGTAAAACACCTGTCAGAGTTATGAATTTCTAAAAGTTGTTTCAGATTGAAGGTTTGTCTTGATAACGAGCCAAGGTTATTCTGTTAAAATCAAGGTCACTGACAGAAGAAATCTGTTATTTTCCAGGCTATGAACTAGTAAGTGAAAATCATTGGAGGCTCTTACTTGAAACAAAGATTACTTATGATTGGAGGATGTGTCATGTCACCCTGATCAAAGGTCTTTCTGGCAAATGAAGGTCACTGAGAGAGAAAAAATGTTTAAGGATGGATTCTTGTCAACATTTTACGTCGTCAATGGGTCTCCATACATTATGCATGTCGTAAAATGTAAATTTCTTATTTGTTCCCATCAGATGAAATACTTGAGATATTTTTATTTTTAAGCAAAATATAAGATTTATTTAAATCACATAAATAAATATTTCATCTATTTTCTTTGTATTGCGACAACCGGTCGCAATGGTAAACATCGCTGTCAACTATGGAGCAACCCCGTAAAAAGGGTCGTTTCGCAAAGTCTACCAAGTATAAGCAGTATGAAAGAGTCACAGAAGCACAGAGACAGCGGTGGCAAAAAGAAGATGTGATTCTGCATCATAATTATTCACAGAATGAATGTTCCCGTAGCGATAAACCAAATGAAAACCCCTGCGATAGGCCGTCTGTGGTCTGCAGTGCGGGTGATGGTGTACCTTTACCTGACGTCGCTTCGTTTGATGTATGCAGTGAGCATGTAAGTTATGTCTGATACTTTTTATCATTTTGAAATCGAGTATGTCTTTATATTTCTACACAAGGCCTACTTCGCATGCAAATAAAAATGTTTTAATACTGTACCATCGTCTGCTTATTCCCGCGATCAGTTTAATTCAGTGTATATACATAACACAAGTCAGCAACGATCAGTTTGTGGATACTACTGATATAAATTATGAATAATACAATTCTTTTAAAAAAAAAAAATAAATCATTTGAGACTACAATATTCAGATTGTTCATCAGTCTTTAGCTGTTTTATTGTGTGTTTGGAAAAAAAGTAAGGTACCTTGTAAGGGTGCAAAATCAAACGGAATGTGGAAAAAAAAAGTAAATTCAACATTGTAATATTTGACTCAATAAATGGACTCAGCAGTATTGAATCACAAAAAGAGATAAATCACAGTAACAAATAAAGAAAAACATTATGTATATGTTCCCTGACAATTCCATTTAATTTATTTTAAGTGTTATCTAGAATTTAGAAAAAAAGGTTTACAAGAATAAATCAAGGAAAACAGACAAGATTTGACATTTTTTTACTCAAATTTTTAATTTACATGTGAATTAATAAATAAAAAAGGAGAATGTAGATATTTATGTTTAACATACATGTTTTAAATGCAAGAGATTTGTTCCTAGGAAAGAAACAAGCCTAGACTGGACAAGGACTGGAGGGCAGGACGTAGAGTTATTGAATTAGGAGTGCTGGCAGATGGACTGTCTGGGTGTAAAAAGTGTGGTCTACCCCTCCAACTGTCTCATTGCACAGGAATTATAACCTTTGGTCTTGCAGCTATGCTCAAGATACCATGCATGAATACCCAATGCCAATATGTTAACAATGTGCCTACTGGAAAGAGACACAATAGAGTCTGGGATGCTAACAGCAAGCTAGCTGCAGGTGATTTGTTATAACATTGACAAATATTCTACGTTTGTGAATTCCTGTTGACCTATATTTATTTCTACGCATTTATTTGAAATTCCTCTGCAGCTGTCCAACATACTGGTATTGGTTATGAACAGATCAGTGGAATACTTGCTGAATTAAATGTCCCACCTGTCAGTCGAACATTACTGAGTAGCAGGCAGGAAGAGGTTGGATCTGCCACAGAGTCAGTTGCAACAGAAACAATTCAGGAAGCTCTTGAACAGGAAGTCCTGACAACATCTATGTAAGTACATGTACTACCGGTAATCAAGTAAATTTTGGTAAAAAATGCTGTGCAGTGAAAAACATTACATGTATTTGGATTAATTAAACATGTATTAAAAATGAATAGTGAATCACAATATGTTGAAAAAATAACAATCGCCAATTGTTTTAATTTCACGCTGCAAGAACTTCAATAATTTTAATTTTGTACATGTATATGCATTCAAATGTTTTTAAAAACCAATGATAGCATTCACTATGGTATTAATTTCTGATTTTTTCTTGCTTGTAAGTACTCTTGTGAATCATAGCCTATGAGCCTACCTCTTGTCTAAAAGATATTCATTAATTAATAATTATTTAATTTTTAAGGAGCAATCAATCTTCCTCCATTACTGTGAGTGTAGATGGGGCATGGCAAAAGCGAGGAAGTGGGAGGTCATATGACAGCCTTACTGGTAAATTTTTTATACCTATAGATGTTGAGTGTAGAGAGAGTTACTGAAGGGGGGGGGGGGGGCAAAAAGAGAGTAAGAAAAAGCACCATCTTTATAGCATAATAATTACTAGTATAGATGTATTTTTCAAAGTGAAAAATATTTGATTTACCGTCATTAAACATAATTTTATTCTCAAAGTTGTGTCACAAAGATCTTTTATATGCTTGATTACTAGCTATATTCTCTCATGTTTTTTATGTTATGTTACAGGACACTGCTCAATGATAGGAAGCCAGACGGGAAAAATTGTGGGTTATAGCTTTAGGAACAAATCATGTAGAATTTGTGAACGAGCAGAAAAAAACAACCAAGCCCCAGTTCCACATGAATGCAAAAGGAATTGGACAGGTAATTATAATTCCTCAGATTTAATATTGGTCCCCCTGCAAAGGTTAATTTTGGGGATTATGAATACAGAAAAACAGTATTTTTTTGTACCAATAATTTTGATATTTCTACTTTAAAATCAGCCCTTTCTTAGAACATTTTAAAACCCCTGCTTGTAATGAGAGGGGGATATACTGTTTTATCCTTGTGTTTCTGTCAGTGTGTTTAGCTGTAGCAAATTTTTGTATCAGTTTTATCTGAAACTACTCATCGCAGATGCTTGAAATTAGCACTCTCTGTTATTAGCTCACCTGAGCCAAAGGCTCGGTATGTCCGTCTGTTCGTCCGTCCATCTGTCTGTTACGCTTTTGGGTACCAATCTTTTATTCACAACTCCTCTTATACCATGGAGTGAAATTTAATGAAACTTTCACAGAATATATATTACATATTGGCATTGTACACCTTTTATTTTACTTTTTGATTGGACACATATATTTTGGGATTACCATAGCAAAACATAGACACTGCTATTTTATAGCAGGCAAGGGGTGTCATTTAGTGAGCTCATTGCTCACAGTACCTCTAGTTTAAGCTTGTCCCATATGGAGTATGATCTGACAGAATAACTCTGTAATAAAATGATATGTGTATTTTAAAAGAAGAGCTTCCTTTGGAATTCAATGATTAATAATAGTCCATGCAATTTTTACAGGTAGCTCCAAGTCCATGGAATCTGACATGGTGGTGGAATTGGTTAAATCAACATTGAAGAAAGGGATTCAAGTAGAGGCACTAGTTGGGGATGACGACACAACCACAATGTCAAGAATTCATAAAGAAATAGACCCAAGCATCAAAAAGCACTCCGACAAAAATCATATTAAAAAAAATGTATCCAATTCACTCTATGCGCTGCAAAAGAAACACAACAGTTTATCATCAAAAGTGATAAAATACATTCAGAAGTCTTTCAACTATATGATCTCTCAAAACCAGGGGAATCCCACCGGGATAGAGAAAGGCCTTGATGCTCTGGCTCTTCACCCATTCAACGACCACAGCCAGTGTAGTGAAGTATGGTGCCACCACAAAAGAAATACAACAAAGAAATACAGTTCACTACCCTATGGACGGCCTTTAGAGAGTGAGAACCTAAAGCAAGATCTTTTAAGCATTTTCAACAGACTAAAGAAACATAGCACCAACCTTGCCAATCTTGGAAGCACCCAAGCAAATGAAAGCTTCAACAAGACAGTAGCTTCCAAGGCACATAAATCCCGCCTCTTCAGTCGTACTATTGGCTACAGAGTTGCAGCTAGTGTAGCACAGAAAAACCTAGGGCAACGGTATTTGATTGAGGTACACTTTATAACTTAAATATATTTAAATTTCATCCTATTGATTACTGTGGTTTCATCAATATTCGTTGAGCATCAATTTTCAAGAATCTTGTTGTTGAGCAGATTCATGAAATTAAATGTTCATTGAATTAAAAAATTATTCAGTTGTATTCTCGAAAATGTCTGATATACAAAATCCACGAAAATTGAAGCAAACAAAAATTGATGAAAGTACAGTAATAGATTTGATCACTCATTTGATCCTCTGCAGCACAGGGTAATTTGCTAAATGTAGTCATTCTTACTTTCTGTAACTGTTTTTGGCTGTGTTGCATTATTTTGATCACTCTATTATGAATCATCATGCATCTGTGAAATTTAGCTTTCATGTAATGCAATACTGGGTATATGTTCTATGTGGATTTTTTTTTTTAAATTTAGGTCAACAAAAAAATGGGATTATCACCAGGCGGACACACCAAAAAATTGACTGCAAAAAAGGACAAGTCTGCTGGTCGTAAAAAGGCATTGTCACTAACTACGAAGGCAAAGAGGAGGAGATTATTTCTCAAGGCAGAAAGGTGACTAGGTTGATACAATATACTTTAAATATGTATGAAAATTTTACATTTCTCTTGAAAGTTAATACATAAGATTTTATTTTTACAAAATTTAAGGAAACAAGTGATAGCCTGCAAAGAAACAAGAGAGGGGCCAACTTACTCTTGCGGTATTGGTTTGCATACTGGGAATGACACTGAAACCATTCCAGCTCCTGTTACCCAGCCCCTAAAACAGCCTCTACAGATTTCTAAAGAGAATCCTTTGATCTTTTTTGACCTTGAATCAACAGGACTAGGTATGTGATTTTTAAATTGTGTTTAATATTTTAAAAAAAAACATCATAGAAACATTTTTTCCCTTCAGTATTACTGAAACTAATGCTTATGTTAATAAATTGGAGAAGAACATGAACATTTGTGAATATTAATTATGAACAGTTTAAGTTTCTTCATTTTTAGCAAGGACCTCTCATATCACACAGATGGCAGCTGTGTTTGAAGAGGAAGTGTTCTCAGAATATGTCACGCCAGAGGTTCCTATCACACAGAAAGCTGCAGAAGTCACCGGAATTACATTTTTAGCAGGAAAAATGTATTGTAGAAATGTTGAAGTTAATGCTCTCAAACTCACTGCTGCTGTCGATTCCATTCTTGATTTTTTCTCAAGGTTTCAGTCAAAGGTAGTTTTGATTGGTCATAATGTTAAATCATTTGATTGTCATTTATTTTTAAATGCTGTTGAGGCTTGTGGGAAAACTGATGAGTTTTCAAAATGCATAGCTGGATTTATAGACACAAAGTTACTTTTCAAACTTTTTGATCCAGAATTAAAATCTTACTCACAGAGTGAACTTTTCAAGCACTATCTTTCATTAGATTACAGTGCTCATAATGCTCTGGATGATGTGATGGCATTACAGAAACTTGTGAATTCTGTTGGGATTGATGTAACCAGCTCCATGTATTCAGCTGCTTCTTTTACATTTTCAAATGCTTTTGAAAACTTTAAGTACAGTTCTGAGGTTCATAAAAATGCACCTTCTTTAGAACATTTAGTTAGGGAGAAGATTTTAAGTAAGAGCATGGCCAACAAAATTGCAGGTAGTGGGTTAAACTTTAGGTTTTTGCAAATGGCCTACACTAGAAACCCTCAGGATGGAATTCTGAATTTACTTTCAGAGCAAATAGTAGACACTAATCATGTTCGTGTTACAAAGTCTCAAAAAGTAATTTCATGCTTGAACAAATATTTTGCTTCCAAATGTGAAAGTTAACTAGATTTTTGAAAATTTGTAGAATTTTCAAAGGAATTGTCATTTTCAGGGTAACTATATCATTGTGCATGTATATGCAAATGTTGACCAGTACATTGTAACACAATATTTGAAAAAAAGTAAGTGTTATGTGATTACCAGGTAGCTAGATTTCGAACATTAGTAGAATTTTCAAAGGATGTCATTTTCATGGTAACTATATCATTGTGCATGTACAGTGTATATGCAAATGTTGACCAATAAATCATGTACATTGTAACACAATATTTGAATCAAAGTAAGTGTTATGTGATTACCAGGTAGCTAGATTTCTGAACATTAGTAGAATTTTCAAAGGATGCTATTTTCATGGTAACTATATCATTGTGCATTATGCAAATGTTGACCAGTACATCATGTACATTGTAACAAAATATTTGAATCAAAGTAAGTGTTATGTGATAATGAATGATATACCGGGGTATTTTTATTGCAGTTGAAGATTGTTTTTACTTTATACTTATAATTGTGTATGTAGAGTATGGATTTTATGAATGTAAAAAAGTTAAAGTATGTTAAATGTTATGTAGATGTATATTTATTAGTTTTGTACACTAAGACTATTTATTTAAGTTATGATTTTTCTAAGAAGTATTGAAAGGTTTATCAAATCTAGCTATTAATTATTCCTTAATATTTAACTGTTTAATTTTAATTAAGTTCCTTTGAATAAACTAAATTTTTCAATGAATAAATTGTATGAAAAATTTCCTAAAATTTCGACATGAAAGATTTTTCCCATATGAATAGCACTATTATCATAAATTATATGACAGAGGAAATTCGGAATTTAGATGTCAGTTGCGTGAAATACCTGTGAAATAAATATTTATTTATGTAAGTATAATAAATAAAGGTATGTGTGTCTTCATTTATATCCATGATTTGTTATCTTTATGTGGTTATTTATTTTAGGAAGATATTATAAAATAATTCATACATTTATGATTTTTAAGAAAATTTAGAGAAAATTCGGGTTAATTTTTTTCAATAATTAGTCCGATTACCTTATCATTTTTACCTTGTAAATTAATCTTAAACATTTGATGAATCAACAGTGAGAAATGTAAATATTTGACATTATATGCTCAATTGTAAAAATTGAGATGAAATTTAATGTGAGTTCATGAAAAATCAGAATTTTTTCCGAAAATTCGAGGAAATTCGGATTAAGTATATTTGTTGAATATCGATGATTTCATGTTTTCTTTCCACTAACTCAATTCATGTAAGTTAGTGATCAATAATGAGTTAAAACTTTAATTTTAGTAAGCAAGGTATTTTTTCTGACACCAAAATTTATTCCTATGCCAAAATTTCAATACTTTTCTGTGTAAAAGTACTTTTTTTTAGGACTGACTTTCAAATGATCTTGACTGAAAATCAAGGCCGATTTCACCAAAGTTTTTCGATGTTAAAAAAGTAAACACAGTCTGAATAATGAGTATTCAGAAAATCAAGATTCTGCAATTATAAGAAATATGAGAAGAATCCATCCTTAAGCAAAACTTTGTAATTAAGATTCACTGGAGGCTCATGATGAGAAGAAAAGGTTGTTTACATAAGAAAGTGCAGTGACCTTGACCCAAGGTCGGTACTTCCTGTCCACAGCTCCAACGGAAGACCTACTCGTTGCTATGCAACGAGCTTGGCTCTATTTTTTCTTTGATTATTCTCTATTAAGTAAAGTAACGCCTAATTTAAAATAATGAAACAATGCACGATTTACTGATTATTGTAATTAATTATCATAATTAATTCGTTCAAATATCTGAATCGCACTTTACCTGAGTATACCCGATAGACCGGACGCATTTCACAGCGGTCTGGATTTCTTTCTTTATCAGTGTTCTTAATATTTCCAATTCAACATGTAATTATGTAAATATCTAGTGTTTAGTAGTTTAGTAGTAGTGCTAGTTCTTTTTGTTTCTCTTTTTCCTTTGTTTTTATGACTTTTTAACTTTTTTCTTTGTCCTGAGGAAGGGACAGGGCGTCCCGAAAATTTGACAATTTTTATTGTTCGTGTCGTTGGTCATTTTAGTGCTTTATATAAATTCCCATCCATGACCTTGTATCTACTTAGTAGATCCGACATTTAGGATATACAGTGTTGTTGGTTTTTTTAGTGCTTTATATATATATATATATATATATATATATATATATATATATATATATATATATATATATATATATATATATATATATATATGAAACAGTAAAAAATTCAAAGTGCTCGGTAGTTTACATGTAAATCTTTTTAAAAAAAGAAACACAAAACCTTTAGTTTAGCTTAAGCGCTTTCATTTCAAATCTTCAGAAGCTCTATAATACGTAACATAGCAACATTACGTCATAACGTCATAATAAGCGGAACATTACATACAAACGTCTATTGTGACGTCATAGTCAAACTTTGCGGGAAAACTGTAGAATTAAAATTATTAGTAGAATTTTTACAACAATATTAATTAAGCTAAACTAAAGGTTTTGTGTTTCTTTTTTAAAAAGATTTACATATATATATATATATATATATATATATATATATATATATATATATATATATATATATATATATATATATATATATATATATATATTATGGTCTACAACATACATGTTATACATTGTAGCAATAGAAAGGTACATGCAATAGAAAGGAACGAATAAAAATAAATATTAAAATGTACAACAAATATAGTTTGGGATGGTAAGAGAAAAAAGAGTAAACTTATTTCGAAAAAAGATCACATTCATTTAAGAAAGTTTGAATAGTCTTGAAAAGCTAAGCATTTTGTTCAATAGTAAGAAAATCATCGCCTAATAGCTTTAAATGTGCATCTATAACATGTAAATAATTAAATGATAATAGATTATTCACTAAGGAATTTCCTGCTGCTACATAACATTTGCAAACAAAAAAGAAATGATATGCATCTTCTAGTAGTCCACAAGAACAATTAGGACTGGTTATTATGTTACAGAAATATAAGTCAGAATTTAAAATACAATGAATTGATGTTCTAATTCATATTCAATTAATAATGTAATCATGCATGAAGACAAAGCCACATTTTTTAAAAAAAATATTTGGTTGCCTTCTCCCCAACGACTGATTAAAAACCTCTTGACGCAAAACATTTTTATATTCCAGGACACGATGCCTTTTCTTTTTATTCCTTTTATCTTTTCAACAAATATGTTGAAATTTCCTGGAAAGAAAATATTTTCTCACCTACCTAGTAGCCCAATGATATTACACTGAGTAGGATGAGGACAACCAATTAATATTTCAATGGTGACACAAGAACCTTCTTATGCTTTGAAAAGAAAATAAATATCATGTTTGTTAGAATGAACACTGATAATCATGTCCTTTAATGTAACAAATATCCACATCCCGGATTGCAAGAAATATACACATTCTAGTAACATTTTTTTATATTGTTATAATAAATGATGTAAAATATATTTTATCACACAGAGTATCGTCGCACATGCTTCTTCAATTCACCAAACACTTTTTCACACACCGGTACGTTATCTTCGTCTTCTTTTCTGATAAGTTTAGGAATTTCTGTGTCCTCTCAAGAAGGGAGAAGCCGTTTTTGTCTAATACAGTCATATCATCCCCCAGATTAACTAATGCAGAGTTAATTAATATGCCATTATAAAAGTATTCCTTTCTTAAATGCTCTTGATACATCCTGCAATTCACATTGACATCCGCCCCGGCCTACACAAGTATACTTACATTCTGTACTAGATTTTATCTATAAATATCCATCCCTCATCATTAGTGTAAACAGAAGAGGTTTCATATCAACAAAATCATCATTTTGATACAACTTTATCAACTGGTTGGCATCTAGACCCAGATTTCACAGATGTTTCAGTACGTCACTTTTACTTAAAAATACAGTTCTAAACAAACATCCTAACCTCTGCATATCCAATACTCCTTTTTTAACCACCATATCATCCTTGCTATCTAACATCACTTCTCTTTGTGTATTGACTCCTTAGCAGTCAAACAAATGCAACATCGGTTTATATGACTGAGTATAATTGTTTTATAATTTCAAATTTATTCCTGATTAAAGCAATACTAATTGATGATAACTCTTCATAATCACAGACAGTTGGGTCCGCATTATCCTTCAATTTAAAGGGTATCTCAGTCTCAGTATAAAATAAAAGTATCTTATGTAGAGGTGTTCTCCCTGCCGAGTCCTGTATATTAACACCAGCTCCTGCCTCTAGCAGCTTCTCTACTATTCTCATGTGTCCACTCTGACTAGCCGCTGTCAGTGGTGTATCATATATATCATTTAGATTAACATCTGCTCCTGCATCTAGCGGCTTCTCTACTATACTCATGTGTCCACGCCCACAAGACACTATCAGTGGTGTGTCAAATCCAGTATCATTCATTTGATTGACACTGGCCCCTGCTTCGAGCAGTTGTTGTACTTTACGTTCATCTCCACACGTGCATGCTCTTATTAAGGGCGTTGTATCAAAACTTCTAAGCTTGACATCACCCCCTGCCTCTAGCAAATCTTTCACAATACTCGATTGATCCCTCTTACATGCAGCTTCAAGTGGTGTTTTGGTAAAAATACATTTTAGAACGAACTGGAGGATTGACTTTGGTCCCATCCTTTGTCGGATCCTTTACTACACCTGCATGTCCCTTACTAAATGCTAATGTGAGCAGTTTATAATATCCTTTCTTTAGATTCACACCAGTCTTTGCCTCACTTTCAAATCCACCGCCACATACTGCCATCAGCGAAGATGTGAATTGCCCATATTAATAGCTCCTTCTCTATTCTCGAATGCCCACCCTGACACGCACCTGTGCCCACCCTGACACGCACCTGTAAAGGAAGATCCGTTAACGATGTTAAGTGTGTCATTATTGATAAACCTCAGCAATATTTTAACAGTTTCTAAATCACCACTGTAGCAGCCAAGTAAATATAAAAGGTATTCTTCGGGAATTTCAGTCTCTGTGATGTTCCTAAACAACGCAGGCTCTGTTTCTTTGTGTTCAGTTCGTTTCAAAATATATTGTAAAATCTTATTGTGTCCATAATAAATAACCCATCTGATAACTCTCAAAGTGTATTTCAGTCCATGTCATCCCCTTTTCTTATTTTTCAATGTTTCCTCTGCGTCCCCCATTATAAATGTAGGTAATATTTCCAACCATGGCAGCAGGCAACGTTTAATTTTACTCACAGCCTCACGGTCTGAGAGAAATAAAGACGTCAACTCTGTATCAGACTTTGTTTTTAAAAAATCCTCAAAAGCCTGATACACAATAGGCTCTTTTAAAACTTTGTTCATAAAAACATCATATACGCAGGTAGGTTAAGGTTACAACCAAATTTTCTACTTGCCTATATGATATGACGTCAAAGTAAACTATATAACGTGAAGTTTAGAGATAACAATTTCTTATAATCGATATCTAAGATTGATTTGAGGTCGTAAAAATTAATCAAAATATGCAGAGGCATAATACAAACAGAATTTTGTCGTTTCTGGGTCTCTGTAGTTATCACAGGGGTTAAATACCAAACTCGTGACGTCATAACTGTTGATCATGCAATAGCAGAGTGAAAGTGAAACGTAACGAGAATTCATGTAAACAAACACAAGAAATTGGAGTTTAAAAGCCTTAAGAATGAATATCAGGTATGATTCATGTGGGAATAAAGCTTATGAATAAGGTATGGTAATATACTTCAAGAATTTCTTCGAGAAATTATAGCAGGGAGGGTGTTTACTTGCCGATCAGTCTTTCCTCTGTCGTTCGTAACAAATAAGATGCAAAAGTTCAACACTACGCCACACACTCTGAAACTTAATTTTATTTTAAGTTCTTATTCTATTGTTTTTGGAAAGTGCTGCTAGAATCGTGTGGTTTACGGGAATTAATGCATTTTTTTCATTGTAATGAACAAAATATAAAAATTTTGGGACGGTTTCGTCAGAAAGTGTTGAATTATTATTTCTGTGATAGGACAGTAGGATTCTAGCAGAACTTTTCATGGTACAGAGATGTTTTCACATAATTATTATTACAAATTGAAATTAATTATCCCCGGGGTAGTGTTGAATTTTTCACTTTTTCATTAAGGCATATTTTCTAATTATAGACGTCACGTGGTGACGTCGTGGTGAAGTGCTTCATGTACTATAAGTCCCATTGAAGTCCATAGAATGCATAATTATAACAAAAGTTTTATGCTTGACTTTTCCGATTTATTAGTGTACATAATTATAAAAAAAAGTCTTAATTCGCCGAATTCTGGTCCATGTGCTGCCTTAACATACCCGCGTAGTTCCATATTTTCTATATCCCTGTACAACCCCTCTGCCAGCATTGGGTAATGTTTCTCTTCTAGTCTGATAGAGAGATCATATGACTCTAAGGCAGCAATCTTTTCTTGACTGACTGCAACGTGGTTTTCCCCTTGTTTACTTTCTCCACTGCTGACATATTTTCACTCATTTCTTATTTCTATTTTCTATCTTCTGTATAGGAGATTCTTTAACTTTTATATTGTTAGCGATATAATTACTACTCATACATTTTAAGATAAGTTCTTGATTCTGAGAACCAAAATGATGGGCAACAATTTCGAACATGGAATCATTAACAAAACTACATGTATATTCGTTATCACAGAATTTTGTGTAAGACCCTTTCAAAGCAGATAATGCACGATCAAATTTATTACTACGTGTATCTGTTTCATTGCTGACCTTACATTCTTCGAAAACACCTTTCTTCATTTCATGGAAGTTTTCAATTACTGTTCCACTTTCTGTCGTCAGGATATTTGTTGAAATTATGTTTTTATTCATCATGCATAAAACCAAACACGCGTATTGAATTCTTTTTTTCATTTCATCAAGTTCCATCAGAATACACGGAATAGGATTTTCAAAAAATGCAGGCCCATAAAATTGAGATTTCTTTTCATTTGAAAACAGTTTGCACAGATAGGGAAACATCTTTGATGCTGAGGTAAGATTCTCATGATATAACAGCGCTACGTCTATGTTGTTAATTTTAAGTTAATATTTTTTTATCGGTATTCGTTAAAGCATTAGCTTCACCATGTAACAAAACCGTATTTCCTTTATCTGTAAAAATTGAAGATCAAAATGATTCTCTATGGACTGCCTCTCTACATGTCTTTAGAGTTTTTGATTTTGACATTTCATGCTTCATAATTTTATCTTTGTAATCATTCAACAAATCCAGTTTAGCTTTTTGGAGTTCAAATACACCTATCACATCATCAATAACAAAAACCTGTCGATTCTTTGGATCACAGTATTGCTTGATCTCTCCGATTTCGTCGATGGGTACTATCTCATATCCTTCCTCTTGTAGCATCAGGTCGACATGACGAGCTGTTACTGTTTTCCAGCTCCTGGCACACCAATAAACGTCATATGAGTCTGATTTTTAACTTTTACCAGCATAGACAGAAAGTTTTGAGATTCATGGAAAACTCTGTCATTTTCTTTCCATTGTAAAATATACTTCTCATGAATAGCTGCAATTAAAATATTAAATATACCGTGTGGTAATCTTTAAAATAATGTTTCCTTGCTCCCTCCTAACTCAAATAAAAAAAAATTCCGTTGGTAGGTAGGTGAAAAAAATTTTCCTCAGAAAGAACAAAGTTCACTTCTTATTATATTTGGCCCTGATAATTTACAAAAAAATAAGTTTCAATTGAATCAAAACTTTATAGTGGCAATAAATGTGGATATATGCTTGCTTAAAATAAAATCCAAAATTTATAGAATGTGTCCCCGTTTAAATATTTTATGGCGGTCAAAACATGCATGGAATGCGTATTTCCGGAAAAATCGTTAAAAATCAACCACTTAAAAGCTTTTTTCAATAGGTCTGCATCATAACACCACTTTGAAATTTTCTAAGATGAAATATTGATTTAAAAGCATTCTTTGTGCAAAAAATTACGATGGTGTTATTTTGCGGACTATGTTTATTTTTTTAAAATGTGTTAATTTTTAAACCACCAAAACACATGAATAAAACAGAATGTTGCTATAAGACGTAATATTACTCGCCAGTTATCGCTGAAAATCGTAATTTTATAGGATGAATTCTTTACTTCAATATTATGAATATCAAGTCAATGTTATTTTATACATTTAGTTGCAATGCCTTTTTGCCTTTGTCTGTAAAGTCTTATCGGTAAAACAATTTAGAAATACAAGTAGGTCATTTTTAAAAATAATGACGTCACAATGGGGGGTGAAATATTTTTGATATTGATATAGATCTATCTATAGGCATTTGTGCAATTTAATCTGAAGCGTAAGAAATATATACCTACATTGTATGGTAATAACAAAAGGGCAAAGGATAGAAAATTTAAAGATACTTTTTTATTGTCATGAATCACAAAGTATGCATGTGCTCCTAGCATAGACCTATTTAGCGCCCTATGTCTATATGCTCCAAGAAAGCATCTGCAAAACTGAAATCCTTATTAAGACACGCATTTTATATATTTTCTAAGAAATTGACAGTAACCAGCGTATTGCAGTGGTTAGAGCATTATGCTCTATAGAGTCGCGAAGTCAGGAATTGATCTTTACCTCGCGGGTTCGAATCCCACTGCGGGACGTGGAAACAGGTTCTTCAGATGAAACCGTATAAACCGAGTTCCCTCGTCGTAGTAGGCACGGAAAAAATTACCTCACTGCTCAATGACCCTAGATAAGTGCCGAGCATAGGGCAAAATTTCCAGCTCTCCATCGGCAAGTAGTGGCGTCTCCATATGAGTGAAATATTCCTCCAGAGGCCTGAACATTAAGCTACAAGTTTACAATCAATCGATCGATCGCCTCTATATGTACTTGTGATGAGATATCTGTGTAAAGGTGAAAAGTTTCGAAAAGAGCTCATATATGTTCTTAACTTGTATTATATTCTCAGTTTACGTTTATATACTAGTATTTTCATGTCGAAAAATTCTTAATTAATTCATCCTACCCTCTACCTACTAAATGAATGGTAAAGTTTTACTTGATGTTCCATTTAAAGCATAAAAATAATTATTATACTCGTCCAAACTTAACTTTTTACTTCTCTCTCTCTCTTTCTCTCCCCCTCTTAACTTTTTTTGTTATGTAAAAAAATACCCTTGATTAATTATCAATGAACTAAACAAATGCTGAGTGTACAGCTACATTTTGGTTATCAATGATTATAAGTACCAATCGGTCTTATACACACGTATTTAAAAAAGTGACTAAAATGTTTCAAATAATGATATTGTTCTCACCACTCATATCATTATATAGAGCCATATATCAATTTTATTATCTGGTAAGACCGCCTCCCTCCTATAAATACATTTTGGAGTAATCTGTTCTTCAAAGGGGCTGCACTCTTTTCCCTTCTTTTGATTATATTTTCAAAAGCAAACCTGATATAGCAAACTACCGAAAAATGATGACATGTGGAGATGGGGGGGGGGGGTATGCAACGTTTAAGAATACCTTGTAAAGTACAGTGTAGATAAGATATATTGGAAGGAAAGAGGTTTAAAGGTTTGTTTTGTTTTTATGTTTAAATGTTAGCATTTGCCATCTAA